AAATTCAGAAGCATTAATAAAAAATGCAAAGACTAAAACCAAAGAAATGGTCATTTTTTTCAGGTATACACAACTGTCAGCCACATTGTCATCACAATAATCTGCATAAGAATACTTCATTATTTATATGTATATGTGTGTGTGTGTGTGTGTGTGTGTGTGTGTGTGTGTAGGCTTTACATACATTTTCTCATATTACCTCATTTGATCATCATTACAACCTTGGAAGAGAGTTACTATTATTATCCCTATTTTACAGATGAAGAAACTGAGGTTCAGAAAGGTTAAATAAATTGTTCAATGTTTCACAGTTTGTAAATGTTCAAAGGCAGGATTTGAATACAGGTCTCCCTGACATCCACTGTACTAGCCTGCTATGTACAGAGAACAACACTGCTTGTGATGAGGATCAAAATGAAAAGGGGAAAATACTGTATCTTCATCTTAATATATTAGAGCCAGAAAGATAGATAGATAGATAGATATAGATAGATATAGATAGATAGATATACACACACACACACACACACACACATATATATACATATATATATCTTTTCTGGCTCTAATATATAGATGTGATATATATCTAATATATCTAATATCTAATATATATAATATAGATATAATATATATCTGTTATATATATATAATTATACAGTAATGTTTCACTTATAATTTAAGTCAGGAGAAGTATTCTTTAGCATTTAGCTTATTCCAAATAACGTTTTATAGGAATACCAGGCCGGGCATTTTTTTCCTCTCTGTCAATGACATGAGAAACAAATCAGGGTGTCAGATGAAATCTGTTTACAATTCTACAGAACTCCTAAGTGAGCATGCTTTGCGGATATTTGATTACAGCTCCCTTCTCTGATTATAGGTATTCCCTCACTTTATGAAATCCATTTGTTCCTAAAAAGTTGGCAAGATAGGAAATTTCTGCACATTATCAGATTAAGAATGAAATCCCATGAGAAAAAAAAATTGAAACTAAATCTTTTTTTAACTCTAGAACCTGAAATACTATTTAAAATATATAGTTCAAAGGACAACTTTCTAAAATACTTCATCTTTAAAATTCTTAATATTAAGGCTGTCATAAAATATAAATGTTATATTGAAAATGTCACTCCTCTGCTCAAGAAATTTCAGTGGTTCCCTGTTCCCCTAGGATAAATCGCAGCCTCCTCTGTTTGGCATTTCAAGCCTTTCACAATTTGTCTCCAACCTATGTTTCCAGACTGATTTCCTATTAGTCCCCCTCACATAGTGCACATTCCAGGACAGACTGACCCATTCATTTCCTGTTCCCTATATGTGACATTCCACCTTTCTTTGACCTGCTTTTTGTACAATCTGTCCTTCATGCCTAGAATCCACTCCTTCTGCCTCTTGAAAAATCTAGCTCTTACCAGAGTGTCCCTCAGGGGGCACCTCTTACATGAGCATCTTCCCAATTGCCTCCAACAGTTATAATAGTCATAGCTGATATTTGCGAGCACTTTAAGGTTTGCAAAGAGCTTTACAAATATCTCCTCATTTTATCTTCACAGCAACCCTGGGAAGTAGGCAACACTGAGGCAGGTGGCTTCAGTGACTAGCCTGTATTAAATAGCCAGTAAGAGTCTAAGGCAAGGTTTGAAGTCCATGCCCAGCACTCTATCCACTGTCCAGCCTGGCAGCCTACTGCTTCCTCTCCTGGAAATTACTTTGTATTTTTTGTTGTTGTTGTTCAGTTGTTTCAGTCATATCTGACTCTTCACGACCCCACTGTATGTTTTCCAGGCAAAGAGACTGGAGTAGCTTGATATTTCCTACTCCAACTTATTTGACAAATGGGGAAACTGAGGCAAAGAGGATTAAGTGACTTGTCCAGGGTCACATAGCTAGTAAGTGTCTGAGGTTGGATTTGAACTCAGGTCTTCCTGACTCCAGGCCTAATGATCTATCCACTGCCCCACCCAGCTACTCAATACAATACTTTGTATTTACTTTGTATTTTGAGTTTACTTTATATGTATTTTGAGTTTACTTACCTGAATGCATGTTGTATCTTACTATCAAATGCTAACTCCCTGAAGGCAGGCACTATTTTTTTTCCTTTTTCTCTACTGCTTAGCACAGTACCTGGCACATAGTAGGTGTTTAATAAATACTTGTTAAGCTGGAAATGATAATAATAACTAATATTTATATAGTGCTTACTATGTGCCAGTCACTCTGCTAAGCACTTTACAATTATTATCTCATTTGATCCTAACAGTAACGAGGTAGATGCTATTCTCATCCTCATTTTACAGAAACTGAGGAAAATAGAAGTTAAGTGATTTGTCCTAGGTCCCATAGCTAGTTACCGTCTGAGGCTGGATCTGAACTTGAGTCTTGACACCAGGCCCAATGATGGGCCTATTGCCACTTGGCTGCCCCATAACAGAGCTGAACTCAATACTCCAGAACTTGCACTCTTATATTTTATATGTATTTTTATTCTTCTGTGAGTTTCCTCCTTCCAAATGGAGGCTGTAGCAAACACAATAGAGACAAAAATGCTCACTTCCTTCCTCTTAGAATAAGACCATCCAAAATAAGTATTTCTTTTTAAAGCCAAGGTAATTACCTGTAAACCAATACATACTGTCTGTTAGAAAGGAGTTTGCCTTAGGATTAAGAGATGCCTGCAAATAGCTCATATACTTATAACAGTTTCCATTTCCATAGAGCTCTAGGATCTACAAAGTTTACATCTCTCAAAACAATCCTGAGAGGTAGGTAATGCAGAATTCATTATTGCCATTTTACAGATTAGAAAAGTAAGGTAATGTGACTTGCAGGGAATCACACAGCTAGTAAGATTCTGAGCCAAGATGTAAGGTCTCCTGACTCAAACTTCAACACACCAAATCAACAAGCATTTATCAGATGCCTAACTGTTTCAGACACTGTGCTAACCACTGGACATACAGATGGGGGGGAGGGGGGAGCAAAAACAGTCCCTGCCCTTAAGGAGCTCATAATTTAATAGCATGAGGCAGGGGTGGGGAACCTGCAGCCTTAAGGCCATGTCTGGTCTTCTAGGTCCTTAAGTTCAGCCTTTTGACTGAATCCAAATTTTACAAATGGAGTTGTTCTATAAAATTTGGATTTAGTTGAAAGGCCGCACTTAGGGACCTAGAAGGCCACATGTGGCCTTAAGGCAGCAGGATCCTCACCCCTGCTCTAGAAGCATTAGGTGGCATGATGGATAGAGTGCTAGGTTTGGAATTAAGAAGACCTGAGTTCAAATCCAGCCTTAGACACTTAATAACTGTGACACTGGGCAAGTCACTTAACCTCGGTCTGTCTCAGTCTCCTCTCGACTATAAAATGGGGATAATAAGGTTAACTACCACCCAGAGTTGTTGTAAGGATCAAATGAGATAATATTAATACAGCACTTAACACACTGCCTGGCACATATTAAGTGCAATTATCATCATCATCATCATTATTATCATAGCTGGCATTTATATAGCACGTTAAAGTTTGTAGTACATTGCATGCATTGTCTCATTTGCTTCTCACAAAAAACCTAGGAAGTAAGTATTATTTTCTCCATCTTACAGATGAGCAAGCTGAGGCTGAGAGAAGTTAAGTGATTTTTCCAGGGTCACACAGCTAGTAAGTGTCTGATGCTAAATTTGAATTCAGGTTTTCCTGACTTCAGGCCCAGTACTCTATCCACTATGCCACCTCGCTGCTGTAAGAAATATTTCTGCTTTACTAGTACTATTACAACAGGTGGGTAGATTACAGAATCCTTTCATTTGTTTTTCAAATTCACCAGATTCCTTGGTTATCACAGCAATACTTCTTCATTCTTGGGCCTCAAGTCACCATGAAAAGACTCAGATTTCCATGGTGAATCCCTTGAACAGAACACACCCATGTACAGCATTGTCTTGTGAAAGTTAGAAGCATTAAAAAAAAAAAAACTTGCAAAACATTGACCATGATTTCTCCCAGAATACAAGTGAGGCAACCTTTGGCCAGAGGCAATAAAGCTTCCATAAATCCTCTAACACAACTCATAAACTGACATGAAAAATATGGGTGTGGTTTGTTTCCAAGCTGTAACTCTTTGAAAACTTTAGTTTATAGCCAAGTGAACACTGGTAATGTTGAAAAGAAGAAGAAAAAGAAGGAGGCAAAACCACCACAAAGAACCTCTAGCCACAGAATCTTTGTTTCCAGTAAGAATAGTCCAACACACCTGGGCTTTTTACCTTTTCCTCCAATTACCATCATACAAACCTTGAGCAGTAGCTTAAGTAAACTTTGTCTCTAATGATCTCAACATTGACATAACAAATCTTTGGTAATTAAAGTGTGAAAGGAATAACTTTTTTTTTCCTGAAAAATCACAGTATAGCAATGATAAAAGAAAAAATCTCACAGTATTCAATGGAAGAACTATTTTTAAAAAATCGTTATTATTCAGACAAATAATTGGTCTCTAGAGGGGATATTTGTGTAGTTGTGTACAAAGCTTCTAAGGATTTTTTTCTTAAAGAATATTAGCCAAAATGAATGATGCAATTACAAAACCTTATATAGAGCACAGGAAGAAAAAATTATCTCTCTCTGGAGATGGAGGGCAGTGTCCATTTCATTCGGTTTCTGATGTTTCTCCAAAAATGCAAGCTTGCGGATTTTCTTTTATTGTTTTGGAGCCCAGCAGCAAAGGGCCTGGGAGCTATCAGGCCAAATCTAGAGCCTGGTAAGCAAATGATCATCCCCATCACTGATTATAAAGAATTTAGCATCAGGAGTGTATTAGTCAAGCCGTCTTGCCCTTGCTCTTAGCAGCATCCCATTCTTTCGGCTGATGGATATTTAAGAACTTCTTCTCTGATTACCAGAACAGGAGTACGCTGGGATCTAACAAAGACTCAGAACTGGCCTAAGGACAATTTGGAAACTTAACTGTAGTTATCACTATAGAAAACTATGAAACAAACCTGGATCCACTTGTCTGGGGACTCTTCGAAGTCCATTAGGTGGTTTCTGAATAGTGAAAAAGGAGAAGAAAAAAAAGATTAAAGGCATCTGTCAGGTGGTTTCTGAGCCATTCAACTATAATGCTTTAGAAGGCAGAATGAACAGCAAGAAATCTATAATTGAAGTGAATAATCCTAAATGTTTATGTGGCTTGTTGCCTTCAAGCTTATTTTCAGCAGATTTTATTTCCTCTCCCCATCCCAGGATTTTACATTCTAAATAGCATTGATGTTTAATAAATAATTTCTGAGAGAAATGGTTATCCAGTAATATCACATTTTAGCTTGTCATCACTCTATTTTTCCTCAAATCCTATTTCTTTTACAGGTGTTGTGAATATGTCTATCGACACATTTTTGTATACATCTATATATGTTTTATATATGCATGTATGTATATGTATTCCCCATTAGATTTTAAGCTCCTTGAGGGCAGGAATCACTTCGTCTGCACAGCCTCTAGCATTATTGTCTGGAACGTAACAAATAGGTGCTTGATGTATACTTGCTAGCTGGATTTGATTATAATATTAATAATGATAGCTAACCCTTATATATTATTTTAAGGTTTATAAGCAGTTCAATACATTGTCTCACTTGATCCTCAGAACAACCCAGTAAAATGGATGCTATTATTGTCCCTATTTTTACAGATGAGGATGCTGAAAGAGGTTAAGTGACTTGTCCAAGTAACAAAGATAGTAAATATATCCACATGACTCAGGATTCAAACTCAGGTGTTCCAATTTCAAGTCTGATCGTCTGTTCATTAAACCACCTGGCTACTGCCAATGTTGAAGTTATATGGTGACAACTACTGCTACAATGACAACTATAACAATGACAGTGACCGCCACCACTACTACTACCATTACTACTACTACTAATGCTACTACTACTACTACTACTACTACTACTACTACTACTACCACCACTACTACTACTGCTACTTCCATTACCACTATTACCAATACAAGTTGGCATGTATCTAGCCCTTTAAGGCTTACTAAACACTTTAAAAATACACTTCTCCTTTGACTACAGGGTACAGGACCACAAAGCTTTTTCATTCCTGGCAAAAGGTGATGAATGAGGCAAGTGAGAAGTCGGCACATGATTATACTCATTATCACCATCAGAATCTCTTTATCTCTACATCTATTTAATTGAACCTTGGAACAAAACACAAGGTTTTAAATATTAGCCAATACTCATACAAGGCAACCATAAGCCTTCTGGATAGAGAGCTGGCCTTGCTATCTGGGAGACTCAGGATAAAGCCTTAGCTCTAAAACTTACTGACTCTGTGACTCTGAGCAGGTAGCTTAACCTTTAGTGGCTACAGAGAATTCTCTTAGACTCTCTAAGTCCTGAAGCAAGTGGCAACCTGCACTGTTAGAGTTTCCTCACCAGGCAGGTCTTTATACCAAATGATATCATAGGTGAGATCCAAAATGAGGGAAAGGGAGAAGGGGGAGGGGAAGAAGAGAAGAGGGGAAGAAGGGGAGGGAGGAGGAGAAGGAGAAGAAGAAGAAGAAGAAGAAGAAGAAGAAGAAGAAGAAGAAGAAGAAGAAGAAGAAGAAGAAGAAGAAGAAGAGAAAGGGAGAGAGGAAGGGAAGGAGGAAGGGAGGAAGAGGAAGGGAAGGAGAAAGGGAGGAAGAGGAGAGAAGGGGAGAGAGAGAGAGAGAGAGAGGAGAGAGAGAGAGAGAGAGAGAGAGAGAGAGAGAGAGAGAGACTTTGTACCTGAAAAACTAAAGCAAGATAGAGATGTATGCGAGTGAATTGCTTTTGACTACAATGTAATACAAAGGAAAGAGAGCTGGAGTTTGAGTCTCAGGATCTGTGTTCAAATCCTGATTTCCATTTACTACCTGTATAACCTCGGACAAATCATTTAATCTCTCAGGGCATCAGTTTTCTCATCCTTAAAGTAAAAGAGTCAGAACAGATAAACCCAAAGGTCCTTCTCAGATCTAAATCTATAACCATGTTCCTGGAAGGAAGTGTCCCATTTGAACATGTTAGAATGATTACTGTAGGAAAAACTTCAGTGAGCAGATGGGAGAATCAGGTTGCTGTATGCCATAAGTACACTCTTCCTAAGAGCTATTAATCTCTCCTCCTGATAACATTTTTTTCCTTCATGTCCTTCATAGAAGAGCCAGAAGAAAATGCCTCATCTAAGAACATAATACAATGTAGACATATTTCCCTGAAACCTATCAAAAATGAAGCTCACTTACTTTTAGAGAATAATGTCTGTATCTAAGTTAGCTATTCAGAGTGTGTGTACTGACCGGCCTCTTGCTACAAAATTTTTAGACATTGAACCTATCAGGAAAAAAAGAGAGAGAGAAGATGCAAAAACATGAATTTGGGTTGGTTGTGAATGTATTTTGTTGCCCAAGTCAAATAGAGAAATACCAGTTTAATTAGCATTCAAGCCAGCCAGTCAATAAACATTTATCAATTGATTCCTGTATTTTGGACATCGTGCTGGATGTTGGGGTTACAAAGAAAGGCAAAACCAGTATCTACCCTCAAGGAGCTGGCATTCTAATAGTGGAGAGAATAACTAAGTAATTAAGCACATGTAAGAGACACATATAAGACGTATAAGAGAGAAGGTAACTGGAAAAGGGAAGGCATTAGTAGCAGAGAGGCCTGGGAAAGGCTTCCTAAAGAAGGTACAATTTGGACTGAGTGCCAAAGGTAGTCAGGGAAACTGAGGTGGGGAAGTGAGGGAGCAGAGCCATTCAGGCCTGATGAACAGTAGTGTAAAGGTACAGATGTGAGAAATGGAGAGACAAGTTTCAGGAGAGTAAATGAGGGTAGATGAATTGTTGTTATCATTTGTCCTTCGTTCTCAAAGAAGAACATGACATCAGGGAGGTGATGCCATGACAATGCAAGTGAAGTGGATTTACGTGGGGGATGATTGAAGATGGACCCAGATGCAGTGGGAGACCGTGGCCTTTTTAAACTAAAGTCTTTCTGAGTTCTCACTTTGACTGAGGCAACAGCCATTCTGTGATTAAGGCTAGGAAAGAAATGAGCCAATGGCCTCTTTTACCTAATTGGAAAAAAAAATCAATCTGGGAAGGGAAGACCCTCGGGTCTTGCGAACAGCATCACAAAAACCAAGGGAAAACAGAGGATCTAGGGAAATTGTTGAGTAGTAATATCAATGACTACAGGAAGATCAAGACCTGTGAGAACTGAGAAACAGCCATTAGATTTGCCTGAGACTTCCTCTGTCACTAAGTTAGATTCAGTGGTAGTTCAAACTTTTAAGTGAAAGGATAATTCAAGGAGGGGAGTAGGGCAGCAAGGTGGTGCAGTGGATAGAGCACTGGCCCTTAAGTCAGCAGGACCTGAGTTCAAATCTGGCCTCAGATCAAACACTTGACACTTACTAGCTGTGTGACCTTGGGCAAGTCACTTAACCCCAATTGCCTTAAAAGAAAAAAAAGGGAGGAAAAATGGAACCCTATTCCCCTGCTTCTCTCTGCTCCATACCTTATTCCGCCTACCTCCTAACTTATACCAATGGTCAGGTCTACAGCTGCTATGTGGGAATGTTCAAGAAAGGGTAACATAATCTGGTCCAACCCATCTTGCTCTTAAAGTCCTTACAGGAAGATCACTCAAAAACATTTACCTTCCAGGCAACAAGATGGTGCAGTGAATAGAGCACTGGCCCTGGAGTTAGGAGGGTATGAGTTCAAATCTGGCCTCACATACTAGCTGTGTGACCCTAGGGAAGCTACTTAACCCAAATTGCCTCCAAAAATTTTTTTTAAAAAATTAAAGAGAAAAAAAACCCTTCACCTTCAGTCAAACTGTGAAGCAGGCTTCTTGAGTCTAAGGTCAGCTCTGATCCCTTCCCCCTAAAGGAGTGTGTAATATAAGATCCATGAACTATGTCAGGCTTTGTTCATAAATCCAATACATTGTGGATCCTCAGGTAGGGATTTCAACATTGAATATTTCACTGGGATATGGGAGGTTAAAATCCATATAAACTACAAGCATACTGCAGTTATGTTATTGGGTCAACAACTATTGGTTTTGCCTAATGAAACATCAGTGACCCTGGTAGCAGAGGTTGCCCTCTAGCAATCTTGAGCAGTTAAGCCTAACTTTATTCATCAGTGCCAACAGAAAATAGATGCAACCTTCATACCAAGGTTCCTAGAAAGGTCAAGGTGAGTTACTTTTTTTCTTCTTAATAGTCAGAGGATCACTTATGTTTTAGGATGACTTCTGTTGAACCTATTTAAGACCATCAAAAAAGGTGTTCTGAAACTTTGCCATTCCCTGATTTTTCTGCCCTTTTCTGGTATAATCTTGTCCCCATACACCCACCTAAGCCCAGAACACTGGTTGACATTCCTGTAACTCTGGGATTCTGTCTACCATGGGGCCAAACAGAAAGCACTATGCCATCTTGGAAAAGCTGTTGCCTTAAAATTCCCTGCCAAGACAGTATTTGAAGAGGGTTTCACTTTCTTGAGGCAGACCCATGTATTATGTGTGGGAGTTTTCCCTGAGAGGAAGAGATTCAATTCTGCTTTAAGCTCTAAAATTTTTACTTGATTTTTTTTTAATAGCAACCCTGATTCCCATTCACTTATGTATGTTTCTTTTTTTTTTTTCTTGAAGGCCAGGATTTCACTTATCTCTCTCTCTCTCTCTCTCTCTCTCTCTCTCTCTCTCTCTCTCTCTCTCTCTCTCTCTCTCTCTCTCTCTCTCTCTCTCTCTCTCTCTCTCTCTCTCTCCCTCCCTCCCCCTCTCTCTCTCTCTCTCTCTTTCTCCCTCTATTTGGGTGTATATGTGTGTGTGTATGTTGAACTTCACATTTTACCTTTCAATACTATTCATCCCAAAAGTAGATCAAATTTTCAGTAATGATCTAGTCAGATTTCATCTATCCACCCCCGGACTCTCGGGATCCAATTTTCATAGGAACGTGGAGTGTTCCTTCAAAACTCTGCCTTTCCCGAAAGCAAATTGCCTCCACGACTAGTTAGTTTATGACTGTCAGATTTAACAGCTATTAAATACATTATAGGTTATTAAATTCAGGACATGTTTATACTCATAAGCATGCCCCAAGACTAGCACATTTAGCTTTCTGACAACAATTCTGAGCCTTCATTTTTAAGAGATGTGGGGAAGAGGAAGGTCAACAACTTCAGGATTTTGTTTTGTTTTGGTTTTTGTTTCATTAGCAAAAGCAACAGAGTGGCAATAACTTTTCAGTTAGAAGAATAGTAGAAGGGGTTAACTTATTTCATGTCTGGCATATGGCAGGCACCTGACAAATTATTTAAAATGAATTAAGGTGCCTTAGGAAGCACAGTAGAAAGCATGCTATATCTGTAAGCAGAGGAACTGAGTTTGAATCTTACTTCTATTAACTGTGTGACATCAGACAAGTCTCTGAAGTTCCCTGGGCTTCTTTTTCTTCGTCTATGAATCTATGAGTCCAGAAATAAATGATAACTTAAAAAAGGGTGCCTGGAGTCAGGAACACTGGGGGTCAAATCCCACTTCTGATATTTACTCGTGGTGTGGTCATTGAAAAGTTGCTTAACCTCATGTATCCTCATCTATAAAATGGGTCCATTTTATATGGGACTGGTACTTGCCTCAAAGGGATATTGTGAGGTTCAAATGAGGTAATTAATGTATGCAAAATGCTTTGGAAACTATGAAGTATTATGCAAATGTCAGCTATTATTATTATTGTTATAAAACTATAAATATGTTATTTCAGTTTATGGAGCCTAGAAAGTATGTGATGACAATAGCATAGAAATGTCATCTAATTCCCAGTTACCCTTACAGCAGAATCATGGGAACATTAGGAGGGTCCTGAGATGAACCTCTATGGCTGCTGTAGAACCAGTGTGCTTCCCTTTTGGCCCTACTCTCATTCCTGTGATGAGAGGATGGGCATTTGGGACAGGGTAGGGAGGAAAGTGTAGAAATGTACTGGCAAGAATTTTAAAATCTTGTGAAAATTATTAATTGCCTGAATTCCACATTTTTTGATATAGATCCACCTACTTTTCATCACTTCATCGGATAAAAAAACAGATTTTCTTTTAAGAAAAAATCTCCAAGGTCAAATACCTGATATGTGACAGAGACAAGGTAGATAGCCCTACCAGAAGAAATGCAACCAGGAAAATAACTCAATAGAGGTTTGGTGAAAAATTAATAGGATTCATCAAAACCCTACTATGTTAGCTTCATTTCTTGATGTCTCATTCCTGGCAGCCTTGACCAAAATCATTGCATATATTCTTTAGAGATTATCCAGTTGGCCTAAAAATCTTCCTCATTGGAGAAATACCAGAGAAATGTACCGATTAATTGTTGTATGGTAACAAGCATCATTTTAGACAGAAAGTTCAATGTACTCGTTTTGGGGTAAGGACAGCATCAACATTTTCTAGGGGATTTTTTGAGTTTGGTTCTCTCTCAGGGGGACAGTGGGCTGGAGCTTTCAGTATCTGCCACCTAGGCAACAATAGTTCAAGCTTCAGAAGAGTATTTATTAAGGGCTTACTATATGCCAGGCATAGAGTTAAGTTATCAAAACAAAACAAAACAAAAAACAGCCTCTGCCCTCCACGACCTTCCACTCTAATGGAGACAACACATTGGTTGTTGTTGAGTCATTTTTTTCAGTCGTGTGCACTCTTTGTGACCCCATTTGGGGGCTTTCTTGGCAAAGATATGGGAGTGATTTGCCATTTCCTTCTCCAGCAGAACCGAGGCAGAGTTAGGTGGCTTGCCTAGGGTCACACAGATAGTAAGCATCTGAGGCCAGATTTGCACTTATGAAGAGAGATCTTCCTGACTCCAAGCCCGGCTCTCTATCCACTCTGCCACCTAGCTGCCCTATACAACACTAGTCTACCTTATATTCATTCCATGTGTACATAGAGTGGGAAAGTAGTCTTAGAGGAGAAGGCTCAGCAACTAGGAGGACCATTAAAGCCTTCCTACACAATGTTGCATTTGATCTGAGTTTTGAATCAAACAACATCACCTTGTTGCGCCACTCTAACTCTTGAGAGAGAAGAATGGCTCCACATTTGTAAGAGGGTAGAACTGCTATCAACAGTGAAAGCAGCCTATACCTGTTGGTGCCAAGGTAAAAGTATAAAGCTCCTTCTACCAATATCCCTTTCAGTCTTTTTGCTAGACTTTTCAAAATTCAGATAAAACATGTAATTTGACAATCTGTCCAAATGCCACCTCACTGACAGCACGCTGCTATAACATCAATTATGAAATGTCTTCAGATTTGCATGTCCTTGTGACCACAGGAAAGGCACATAAACTTTTCTTGACCTCAGTTTCTTTATCTATAAATGAAGGAGTTGGACTGGATGACTCATATGCTTAGCTCTGAGATCCTGATACCATTTAGTGTCTCATATGCCAATAAAGACCACAATTCTTTACACACAGGTTACTTGCATATGTATGGTATGTATTCATATGAAACTAGGTGGTACAATGGATTGAACGCTAGACTTGGAGTAAGGAAAATCTGGGTTTGAAACCTGTGGCAGATATGTAATAGCTGTGTGGCCCTAGACAAGTCACTTCACCTCTTACAGACTTACTTTTATCTGTAAAATAATAGCACCTACCTTCCAGGATTGTTTTGAAGATCAAATGAGAAATATGCAAAGCACTTTGCAAACTTTAAAGCACTTCTTAAATACTAGCTATCATCATATTATTATTGTGATTGTGATTGTTATTATCAGCTTGGCTAAGAAGAACACTGACTTTAAGATTTCCCCTATCTACTCCCATTTTAAATTTCACTTTCACTGTTAGTGTAACAATTAGTTTTGTCTGTGTTTTTAATTGTTGCTGTTTTATTTTGTTTTGTTTTCTATTGTTATACTCTTTATACCTGGAGTGAGGTCAGGGTTTTATGGCTTTTAGCCAAAGACCATGTCTGCACACCTACCTGCTCCATTTCCCAATGACTTGTTTTGTTTATATAAACTTGAGCATGATCAGAGCATTCTATTTCAAACTAGCATCAGAAATTAGAAGAAGCTGCCTTAAATCAAGTGACTCATGAAAAGGAACTTTCTTAAAGAGAAAATTTACCCATGTATAAAGTTTGTGTAGTTTTAATAGATCACAAGATGATGTAGTCAAGGTCACTGAGACACAATAATTAATCTCTGTGTATGTTTAAGTGGAAAAACACCAGCAGCATGAAACTAGATCCCTAGACACACAAAGGGACAGGCCTTTCAATACTCACAAGTGGTTTGCCACAATATAACAACCACCTGCCTACTTCCAGACAGTAGCCTCGTCCATGGCCATAAACTTCCTACTATGTGTACTGTCTACCTCCTGAATAATAGGGCTAATAATAACCCTTCTAGGAGTGGGATCTGTTTGTTTTTGTGGGGCAGGGTTAGCGGATTTTAACAGGAGAATGACTTTCCCCAAGTTAATTTTTGTAAAACTTAGTATCCTGTCAAATTTTGTTTGTAGTAGACACATTTTGAGAAAGAGAATCAATCAATCGACTTGGAATGTACTGCCAACAATCATTTAGTCCAGCTCTTTCAGTATACAAGTGAGGAAATTGAGGTCCAGAAAGGTGAAAGCAGATTGCCCAAGATTTTATGGAAATTATTTAGATGCCCCTCGGGAAGAGCCAGAGAACCAGTGCAAACTCTTTAAAGGAAAGAATGGTTTTATTATTTTTTTCTTCTGCATCAACAGTAATTAGCTCGGTACCTTGTATTTTCTCTTTTTGGGGGGGGGGGAGAGAGCTGTGGGGGTGGGTCATATCTGTGATTTCATTGGTGTAGAGCAGTGGTTCTCAATCTTTTTAGTCTCCAGACCCTTTCACATTCTTAAATATTATTGAAGACCCCCCCAAAAAAAGAGCTTCTGTTCATGTGAATATTATCTATCAATAGTCACCATATTCAAAATTAAAATGTCTTATTATTATGAAGATAGATTTGACCTGAAGTACTCCCTGAAAATGTCTCTGAGGATCCTCTGACCACAGGTTCAGAATTGCTGGTGAAGAAACTCTCCTCACCAATTGATATCAGCCATTTCTGCAAATAGGTCATCTTAGAAAATTGCCTAGGGGCACTGAATTGTTAAAGGGACATATCCAGGGTCACCTAGACAATGTGTCATAGGTGAACCTTAAACTTCAGTCTTTTCTCCAAAGCTGATTCTCTATGCTCACATGCCTCTCTCACCTTGCTTAGTGTAGGCATTTAATAAATGTTTGTTGAATTTAATTAAATAGCATTGAAGGGTCATCCAATTCACTACTCTATACTTTATACCACCTGGTTTCTATCGGGTAGACAGCCATACATTAGCGCCATCTCATTGCTTAAGCTTTGTTTTTTGAACCATTCTTAAGAATAGCACTTCAACTTCAATGTAGGCATGCTAATGTTATAACCATTAGCTTAGGTTTTCCCATCTCTCTATTAATCTGTTAAAAAAAATCAGAAAAGAAAAGAAATTTCAGTAAAGACATGATAGCAATAAGTGTGACATTCCCCTTCTCCATGAACTGACCGGTGCAACTCATCCAAATGTATTTGCCTGCTCCTTTTATCTCTGGTTATGTCCACATTTTTTTTAAAAAGAAAAAAAATGTACATTTTGCATTTAAAAGAACCATTTCTGCTCAAGTTAGCAAACAATGCAGAAAGCAAGCATGTAAAAACTTTAATCTTACCTCAGGTTTGAGCGTCCCTTGGTCTGAAACAAATGTAAAAATGGGCATTGTCAGTGTAAGCAATTGTGTTGGATTAGAAATCTCAGCCTGGGCTCTGCTGCCTGCTAAAACACTAAGGCTTTGTTTTCCTAACTGATACCTGTAATATATTTCCAGGGTCCCTGGGGCTGGGCTAGTTATTGTTTTGCAACTCTGGTTCTTTGACCTGATTGGCTTGCTAGGAAAATGACTCAGAGCTCTAAATGGCTTGCTTATGGGCTATACTTAACTCTCTGAATTGCTTATTAAGCAGTGTCAAATAATTAAACCACAAAAGCTGCTCAAGTAGAGGGTTTGCATTAACTTTCTATGCATGAGAGAAAGCTGTCTCCTCTCAACTTTATTACCTTAAACCTGGTATTAGGGTTTTAAACTCATCAAATTGCACCTACGTGCCATATGTTTAGGTTCCCACTACAAGTTAAACAATGAAGACTAAGGCACATTAACACTTTTGATTACGTTTGTACAATTTTCATGTCTACTTGACCCAACTATGATCTAAAAAGAATAACTGAAAATCAGCATTGGATTGTGATATTAATATTCCCAACTCTTTTGTGACTCAGGTAAAATTACAGATTTGCTCTTGACCTCAGTGTGTCCATCTGTGAAATAGGAATAACAATCTTTAGTTACATTGTGAAGATGAATAATGATTATAAAGTGCTTTGAGATCTTCCGATGAGTTAATGCCAGAGAAGGGCAAAAGATCGTTCATTGCTAGAGCAGGGCCACACACTGCCTCTTCAAAAGCTGACAAACAGGATCAGGTGCAGAAAGACACTGTTCAGGTTGGCAAATGGCTAGGACCTTGAGCGTCCCACATCCTGGACAAACTCAGTGATCTTCTTTAGCCACCCCTGGGCATTGGGGAAGTACCATTTCACCATGATACTACCTCAGGTCTTTTCCATCCCAAAGTGATTCCATAAAGAGAAAGCAGAGACCTAACAAGACATTAGATCTTTTCATAAGTAAGGTGGCAGTGGGGCACAAATGAAGGTGTAAGTCAGACATGCTAAGACTTCTAGTCTAGAGGAGGCTCTGCCACCCATCAGCTGGGTGACCTTGAGTAATTCCCTCAAATTCCCTGGATTGGATTAGCCAATGGATACAATCCCTACAAACCCTAAAATTCACATGACTTCTAAATTCTAAGGACCCCTATAATCAGAATTCCAGGGAGGGACTCCCATTGCAGCATATACCTAGCCAGCTGTAACAGGTTCACACGCTGAACCTGCCTGAGGCTAACAGAACGAGTTTTCTGTGCCTTTTACCTTTCTCCCCCCTCTCTCCTTTTATTTTTTTTTTCTAAGAGAATATTCTTTATTCGTGGGAATAGGGAAAAAGCATAGACTGAAAGTCACCTTCCTTCTAGAGAAAACCATGTGTCTGAGTGCCTTTCATCAATTTCAAATGCAAGTCACCTTGGCTTCCCCAGACTGGTGGTGTCCTGGAAAGCAGTTCTGCCTGACCCTGAACCTTTCCTCTGCCCACATCCCAGGGATAACAGCTCCCTGCAGATGTGGAGGTGGAAGCAGCACCTGTCCTTACAGCACCTGGGGTCCTCCTTTGTCCCAGCAGATGAAGGAAGCAGCTGCTCATTACATTAACACCCTCCTAGACATTTAAGGGAGCCAGATAACAGCAAGGGTACTAATGTGTTTTGGATTAAACCAATCTATACTTGGTGAAGAGATAAAGTGGTAGCTGCCTACCATCACCACATTCCCTGTACATTCACACACACCGGAAATGTACTCTCCCTTCATCTTGAGCGATCGGAATTCTTAATTTCCTTCAATGCTCAACTTAAATGCCACGTTTTTGTCCAGTCTTTTCCCATCCCCTGAGTTGTTGCTGTTTTCTCCCTATTACCTATCTCCATGAGAATATAAGTTTTTTTGAAGGCAGGTACTTCTTTTTTCCTTGTATTTGTATCCCCAGTGTTTAGCATGGCAGCTGTCAAATATTAAGCGCCTAATAAATGCTTGTTGACTGGGCTTGACTACATTTTGTATTTTCCTGGTAGAATGCAGGCTCCTCCAAGTCCATTTCAATGTTTTTGACCTTTGTACCCTCAGGGTTTAACATGGTGTCTGGCAAATAGTAAGTGTTTAATAAATGTTCATTGACTTGATGGTGTATCTTCCTAATGGAATGCAGACTTCTCCAGGGCTGCTTCAATTGGGGGGGGGGGCCTTTGTATCCCCAACACCCAACACAAAGCCTTGTACACTGCAGGTGCTTGATACGTTAAAAAAAAATAAGTGAATTGGTGAGAGAACTTGTGTGGATGTAGGGAATATATCAACTCTGGTGAGAAGGGACGATGAGCAGTTATGATGGATCCTAAATCTTTATCAATCAACAACCTTTTTAGGTACCTATTATGTGCCAGGCACTGGTTTTTTAAGTTGGATATAAGTTGGGAGGGGGCAGGGGTGGCTCACAGCTCTGTCCTCTGGAGCCAAGCAGACCAGGGCAAATCTTCCTTTGCACAGTAGACTTTTTCCAGCTTCATGGCTGGTCAGGGTTACAGAACATACCACTCTAGAGGCAACACAGAATATTACACAGACGTGAGGAAGAAGGGGGCAATAATAAAAGGTGGGGCCGGGTTCAGCCTCATACTGCCTGCTGAATTATACTAGCTGGATTTCATTTCTAGAGAAGTATGTTGAGCAGCAAACAAATGTGACACTTTCATAGTGAGAATACAGACAGAACAATACTTAAATCAAAGTCGATTTTCTTTCTTTTTGCCTTTACCACCAGAGAGCATTCTGTCTGATTAACATGTGAGATGCCTGATTCTAGGAAGGCAAAGGAAGCCAAGTCACTTCACCAAGCTTAGCTTACTTGGGGCAGAGTCAAGCAATGAAAATAAAGCCTCCCTTAGAGGGCTGAATTTACAAATGAAGTGCAGATCAGCTGGATGCCATGATATGCTAAGCCTTCTCTGAATTTGAAATGGGGCAGTCTCACTGCACACTTCTCGTTTGCCCAGAAAGACCTATAAACTTTATAATGAATAAACTCTCTGCTAGCCTGAAGACTCTTCTGGTTCCTGATAAAAAAGAATATTCTAGTCCAAAATGTGATCTAAGTGCCTGTCTACTGATAGGTTCTTTGCAAAATCTAGTCCTGATTACAAAGCCCATCATTTGCCTCCATCTGACATCTTATTTGCATGCAACTGACATCATAATTTATAATACTCAGATTCAAGACTCTTGTCTCCCAGGGGTACAGTTACCCAACAGGGCTGCCAAGCAAGACCTAACAGTGTGAGGTAGAAATCTAAATATTAGAATACCTACCTCACCTGAACACTACCAAGGGAAAGAAGTTGCTGTCTTGAGATATCCCTCACACTCTGTCTCACCCCTCTCTTCTCCTGGGAACATTCCCAGGAAAGTCATTCCATTCTTCAAGCATCCAAAAGTTTGTAATCCTTAATTCATCTTTCCCCTGAAGCTCTGCTCCTGAGGTTGCAGTAGATCCAACAGTAAAGTATTTTACCCTTTCAAGAACCTTCCAAGTCAATGACTCATAATCCAACTTCCATTCTTTTAGCATGTCCCTACTGGTTCTGTGAAGTTCAGAAATAGGAGGCTCCTTAGTTGTTCTGGAGCCCATACAGAATGAAACCTCCAGAATCAAAGTCAGAGCACAGTTGTATATATACGTTTGCCCAAGGGAAGTGATTTTTCAAGGAGGCTTCAGGCCAACTTTTCAAAATTAATTTGTTTCCATGTAAAAATATGTTGTATTAGCCTTGTTCTATCACAGCCACCTATTTTTGTCTGCTATCAGAAAACGTCTCTATTTCTTAAGGGTAAATGAAAGCCAGCAAACAGCAATGGTTACAGAGCTGGCTTTGGAAGGAAGACCCAGGTTCAAATCCTTATGCATGCTGATTGGGCTGTGTGACCCTATACAAGTCACTTAACTTCTTAGTACCCCAAGCAACTCTCTGAGATGATTAGTTGTCAAACAAGTGTCAATCTTTATTGGAAGAGGGAGTGCCCCACTTGGTGAAATTACAGATGAGGACCAGAGTAAATTAATGCCTTTAAATAGTACAGCAAGCTTTCATTCAAGGCAGTGTGGTTCAGTAAAGCATGGGCTTTGAAGTCTGGAAGACCTGGGTTCAAGTCCTTCCCCAACACAATATTGGCTATGTAAGCCTGGGCAAGTCACCTACCCTACCACAATATAAATTACAGGCCAGCAACGTCAGAAGAGAGAGTTTGCACAATGGAAATTCCTCCACACTAATGAAAGCACCACAGGAAACAAAAATTATTAATGTGGCTTCTTCTAAAAAGTTTGCATTTGGGCTATTTTCTGTGAAATATTTAAACGGAAAGACAAAAGGATGGATAGAGCTTTGAGGAAAGGCTGCATAAATGCTATGCACATTGAATAGATGCCATAATGTTCTGTAAAATGTATTGTAGCATTTTGCATAAACTGTAAATAATATTTAGAAAGTGTTTTGTATTTCATATCTTGTTCAGGAGTCACATGAGGGAATCAACCAGCTGATATCTCATTTCTAGTTCATGCTAATGATGATTTATAGCTAGACATTGTGACCCACACGTGGGAATTCATTTCCCCTTTTCTTTGAAAACTGACTTAAAATTAGTGATAATTATAGCTAGAATGTATAAGGCTTTAACATTTACAAAGTACTTTATATATATTATCTCATTTGATAAAAAAAAAAGAGGAGTTTCTGGTTTATGTAATAAACCGAGTGTTAAAGTAATAAGCTAAAGAAGACAGAGTTCTGTTATGATTATGGAGGTGACATTCAAATCAAGCAGAACTGGCTTGTCCCACCTTATAGCCAAATTTAAGAAAAAACATTACAAAATGCCCAAAATCAGACTGAGATAATTCTATGAAAGTGCAACAATTTCATCCAAGTGTTTTCTAACCCATCAAACATTCCACCACATTATTT